GATATCACGAAAACGCAAAAGAGAAGTGAATACAATGGGTAAAAGGGAAATAGAAACATTGGATTCAAAAGCATCACTGGTTTCTTTTAGTGAGATAGTTGAAGCGCTGAAGTTGAGGGTCGAGCAAGACGCAAAAAAGTTGGAGGTGTTTGAGGCTCAATTAGAGGCTATGAAAAATCAGGTACAATGCATCGAATTGTTAAGCTTAAGAGTTGAACTTCTCGAGAAAGAAGTGATGTTACTAAGTGAGAAGATAAAGACTAATGAGGTAAATCATAGTATTTAAGTTTGTTGTTTTAGTAGTATATATGATTTTGGCATATATTTGTAGGTGTGTTTTTTCATGTATTACTATGTAGTAATTAATTTAATTGTTCTTATTTGTGTAGGTTTTAAAACCATACCAGCTGAAAGATTATAGTGACGTTGAAATGCATTTGGATGAGTTGCATGCTAACCTAAATGCAGTAAATGATACAAGACAAAAGACTCTTGATTCAGATGGAGAGAGTACAGTGGATGGAAGAAACCCCGTGGCAACAACTTATAATGAACAACCGCAAGAATCTTCGCCTATAAAGATGTTTCAACCCACTACCTCTAATGTTGAGAAATTCAAGCAGAAGAAAATCATGAAGACAATCAAAATTATGGAAACAGATCATGAACCAATAATTACACGAGATAAGAGCCAAAGGGAGACAAAACTGGGGCCATCTTTGCGAACACCATATCGGGGAACTAAACCAGCTATAGGTATGACAACCATAATCAACCAGTCAATGGCAATTGTTGGACGTGGATATGATCCATTCGCACCAGTGGATGAGCAAAAAGTTGAGGTTTTAAACGATTGGTTACAATTGGATGAGTAAGTTGTTTCTTACCATTACTATCATGGTACTAGTTACACTTTGATGTTTTTAAATCGTAATTTTTTTTTTGTACTGCAGAGAATATCCAATTGGCTCCCAACAAAATGGCGTCGAGTTTTTTAATATTCTTAGAACTCCTCAAAAGTGGCTAAATGAAGAGGTTACTACAACGATCATTGTTTCTTCTAACTGTTTTCATTAACATTATGTTGTGTTATAAATTTTCTTCTAATATGTCATGTCTGTTTGTAACAGCATATTAATAGCTGTATGGATTTGCTACGATTGAGATTTATGAAGAATCAAAAAGCATTCAGAAGTGAGAGGATTG